AGATGCTGTTTGTATTTCTGATAACTACTGGCTTGGTACCGAAAAGCCATGTCTTACTTATGGTAAGCACTTCAGTGGTCGTCTTCTTTATCTCGAGGATCATTTCTCTCCCTTCCAACACTCTCGAAATAATAACAAACTGATTTGCTTTAAACAGGTCTTCGCGGTTGCAGTTATTATTCCATTGAGATTTCAGGACCCGGACAAGATCTCCACAGTGGAGTGTTTGGAGGCACAGCTCAAGAGCCAATGACTGATTTGGTCAGGGTACTTGGCAACCTGGTAGATACAAATGGCAAGATTCAGATACCTGGTTTGGCTGAACTTGTCGCTCCCCTCACAGACGAGGAGAAATCCCTTTATGGTGATATCGCATTCACTATGGACAATCTCCATGAATCATTAGGTAGTCAGACCACCATTCACAACGACAAGGAGAACACTCTTATGGCCCGCTGGAGATATCCATCGTTGTCAGTTCACGGTATTGAAGGTGCATTCTCTCAACCGGGTGCCAAGACAGTCATCCCCGCCAAAGTCATCGGAAAGTTCTCAATTCGAACTGTTCCAAACATGGAGCCCGAGGACGTAGATCGCCTCGTCTTCAAGTATGTCGATGAGCAATTCAAGAAGCTTGGAAGCAAGAATACTATGCGATGCTACTTGCAGCATGCTGGTAAGTGGTGGGTCGCTAGTCCAAAGCACTGGAACTTCTCGAGCGCTGCAAAGGCTGTCGAGAGAGTCTGGGGTGTCAAGCCTGATTTGACTCGTGAAGGAGGAAGGTCAGTTACTTTTTCCACTTGAGTTGCTCGTGATAAATGCTGATACTTTACTTAGTATTCCTGTCACCTTAACTTTTGAGCAGGCCACTGGCAAGAATGTCCTCCTTTTACCTATGGGTAGTTCTACAGATGCAGCTCACTCGATCAATGAGAAATTGGACAAGAAAAATTACATTGAGGGCATCAAGTTGTTGGGTGCATATTTGCATTATGTGGCCGAGGAACCAATGGTTGAGCAATAAGAAGCGATACCCGAGTGAGCGCTTTTACGCAGGCTATTCATGTCAAGGCGAAGTTTGCTAATCAATGATATCTTTTGAGTTTTATGCATCCTCATTTTATCGTAGTACTAGCATGAGCTAAATGAATTTATTTTACTTAATGCACACTAACTATGCTATCTCTATTATCATTATCATGCTCATCGTCATTTCTTTTCAACAACTACGAGTCGTAACCACTGTGTGCCATCCTATGCTCCCTTTTTCGCTTAATTAACTCGTTTTAAGAAATAAACATATGCGAATTTTTTCATCTCTTCGGCGTCATTGGCCTTGACAACCTTCTCATCATTGTACAGCACCCACGATATCGTTTTATCTTCAGGGATTTCTTTGCGAATAAATGCGACGTAGTGACTATATATATCATCAGTTATATCCTCACATATCAACAATCGAGACAACGTACCCTGCATGTATGCTAGATCCTTTATGGCATATGATAGATTGTAGCTGGAATGTAGCGGGCAATGCGGTGCTTCCCGGAGGATCCTCTTTAGTGACATCGCTGTTGACAGGGGCTACCTCATCTTCGAGCTCGCCCTGGTCGTCTGGATGACTAAAAAGCCATTCTACAGCTCGTTCCATGTCGCCATTAGTTTCTTTTAATGCCTTTCGCGCTTGCGGAGGTCCAAAACCCATCGCGCCTAACATTTCTATTTTCTCGGGGTCGGCTGTAGCAGATGTAGCTTTGCCAGAGCTCAAATCTAGTGGAACGTCGATGTCTGCATCTTCCATGTGTGCGAAGAGCCATTCCATTGCGGAGTTGGCGTCACTGTTTCCAGTAGCATGCAAGGCTTTCTCACAACGGACCACTGGAAATCCCATGGCCTCGAGCTGTTGTAGGGCTGCTGCATCTGCGGTGAACGAAGGCTGATCTGGCTCGTCGTCATCGGGGAGAAGTGTTTCGGAAGGTTGCAAACCTGGTGACTGATAATCATCGAGAAAGAACTCCTCGTCTCCGATAACGACAGGAACGTCGACCTTGGTAGGCACCCAATTGATGAGAACAAATCTTCTAGCATTCACAGCGAGAACTTCTGGGAATGTTTTAAAGAGCGATCTTTTCGAAAACCCATCTTTACTACCACATGCTGAGCAAGTAAGTTCTACGATCTCCTCAGACGTGAAACTGTCTAAACACTCCTTCAAAGTTACAGCTTCGTATTCATCCTTCTTTTCGCCGTCTGTAGTAGCCGTTGCCTGTACTTTTCTTACTGGCACAGGAATAGATATATTATCTTGCTCGTCTGTACGATATCGCACCTTTTTGCAGCCTAGACATTGCAGGCGCTGCTCCATGACGAAGCGAAAGGCTCGTACGGGGTCCTCGAATGGAGCTACGTGCTGAGAACGTGTAATTAATTTGAAGACGTGGAGGAGAAACTCGAAAGAATCCTGTTGACGCATGGTTGAAAATTCGGCATGACCTCTGCCCACTAAATATTTCAGCATTGAAGGTGGCAGTCCTTTCTGATCTGCAACGCCGCTCGATTCTGATTGATTGGTAGCAGGATCTGGGAACGAGTATCTGCCCGAAAACAAACCATCTGCCAACTTGTGCAACTGCGTCTCCAGATCCTGAGCAGGGTCTTCAACAATAGGTAGGTCTGTATCCGGTAACAAATAGCGCTTTTGAAATTGGGGCAGGTCAAATAGACACTGGAGCGCGCTTGCCAAGTAGCAGCTATTGCCTAAATTCTTCAAACCAGTAAATCCTTTGCCAAACAATTTCTTCAATTCGTGGCCTTGTTCGTCAGTCATAGAGAACTCCCAACGCATATTTTCGTCGACTTGCATCTCCATCAAACTCTTTTCGGTCTTCTCGCGCTCGGCGAGCATAATTCCCCAATGGGCGAGGTGCTTTCCAAGATCTTCATCAATCCGTTCCTCGTCGCATGCATAACAGTACACATCAGCCGTGCCATCTGAAGTGATTGATCCCAATTTGACCGCAACTGCGTGTTCAGTTTGCTGTTTGTGTTCCAGTCCATGGGAATGTCCCTTGAGTCCACCAAATTGCGCTCGCCCGCATCCCAGATTACCGCAATTTAAGCAGAGCCACAAGTTCTCTTTGAGATCGCAAAGAGAACAGTGGCCTAGATCTTGAGACTGAATTTGGCGTGCGCTTTCTTGTTGTAAGGTGAGAATGTGTTCACACGATGTAAACTCTTGCTCCCAAGCCTTCACTTCTTCCTTTCTTGAGAATGTATTTGCTTTCATTACACCGTTCACAACCGCAGGTAATTTACCGGAGGATTTATCAATATCGTCAACCGCACATTCATGACAACGAACTTTTGTATGGTACTCGAATCGATCGGCTTCGGTCTCTGCGGCGATGGCTAATCGTGACATCTTTGGAGGGGGCTCATCTCGAACAATATGGCGTTTTGTTCTTCGAATATTGAGAACCAACGGATGATTTTTGATGGTATGATGGAGCTTGGAATGGTTCCTATCGCCAGTACAGCCGCCATTGAAGCAAAAAAGACAAACATCCAAACCAGTGGAGTCATCCTATATTAGAATTAAGGTCAGTCGTGCTTTGCCAACAGAAAATTGTGTTTAACATAGAGCGGCAATTGCCACAAACAAATTCTGAAGCTTACTATGGAGTCAAAACATTGTGTACAATCTTCGCGATAGACAGCTTGGCTTGGTCCTGGGGGACGCAGCTCTGAGGAAACATCAGTTTTAATGCTAGGTTCGGTGGCCAAGAGGTTGTAAAGAACTTACCAGCTGCGTCAACATGCTTACAAGACATTTGTCTAGGGTATCTTGTAATGTTGCCCGCAATTTTAGATGGCTATGTTATGTAAGTAGGAAGGAAATAATTACCTTGGGAGGGAGGTGTTGATACTGGTCAAATGACAAGCAGGTCAAGTAGCGGTAGTGTGTACTAAGTATCAGACAGGTAGGGAGTCTCGAGGCAGGTTAGATGTATCCGAATGGGAAAGCGGGAAAGCGGGAATGTGGTGTTGGTGTAGGATGGTGGGGTAATAGGTAAGTGTAAGTGTACACGATAGATCGTAGAAGACATAGAAGAGAAGCTTCAGGCATGCTCGTACTGTGCCATCAACGCGTAAAGATTACTCTCGGTACGCCTAGTACGACTACACGAATGGCTATGGATCAGAGCAATCGGAGGGGTAGAAGGGATCGCGGTATCACGGGAGTGGCCTTTCAGTCTGCCATTGGTCCAACAAGTCTAATCCACCAGTCTCTCGATCTCGATGTACAGAGTATGCAAGGTAGGCATTCCGAACTTCTTGGATCTCGCCACCACTTACGAGTATTACTTGTACTTTTACCTTGGAGAAGGAAGAAAAGAGAATTTGTAATTCGCTTCATTTTGTGGTGACAGTTCATTGGTCCATTGATTGTCATCGATCTTATCTCCGTCGGTGTCAATCGGTCTGTTTCCATCATTTGGCACAATGGTTGGTGAGCTAATCAACATCATAACTCATTGATTGGTGCATTTCCACCTTATATCCGTCTTGATGACATAAGAGCGCGTGAGATAAGCGGCATAAAGCTTGATCATGGTGGTTCGGGCAGTTGAACAGAAAAGCTAAGCCTCATTGGGGTCTTCTTTGAGACTCCGAGCTCCGCGAATCCCGCCTTTCCTCTAGATCCTTGTCCCCACTTATTTCTTTATTTCTTTGATGACCTCTTGAAAATCCCGTCAATTGTTTATCAGATCTACCCCAAGTTTACACAAGTCAAAACACAAAACACCATCACAACCTACCTACTTCATCCGCAATACAATAATAATCAAATCATACCACCTACCTAGGCTCCATAACTTTAAATCTCATCAAGTCCAATACTCTACCTAACTCATATATCATTATATCATCAAATTTTTGATTGATACAAACTAAACCTTCCTACCTATCCGGTCGCCACTCCATCACATATCTCAAAAATGTTTCGAAGAGCTTTGTCAAATGCACCCCGCGTTGCCGGTAGAGTGTTATCGGCAAACAGCCACTCCGCTATCAGACCTCTACCAGCTCAGATTGCATCGCCATCTTTCGTTACTGGTCGCAGGTCATATCATGAAAAGGTCCTCGATCATTATTCGCGGCCGAGAAATGTTGGCAGTATGTCAAAGACGGATACCGATGTAGGGACTGGCTTGGTCGGCGCGCCAGCATGTGGCGATGTCATGAAGCTGCAAATCAGAGTGGATCCAGATACGAACACTATTTCCGATGTGAAGTTTAAGACATTTGGCTGTGGTTCGGCCATTGCTTCTTCTTCATACTTGACAGAATTGGTGCGAGGAATGACACTTGAAGAGGCCGGTCGAGTGAGAAATACAGAAATTGCAAAGGAGCTCTGTCTTCCACCTGTGAAGCGTAAGTCTACGCACTTGACACTTACCTAGTTGCACATACTAACACTGCCTCAGTCCATTGCTCTATGCTTGCCGAGGATGCCATCAAATCTGCTATCTCGAATTACTACACCAAGAACCCTAAATCCCAATCTACGAACCTCGGAGGTACTGGTGCATCCATGCCAAAGATTGACGTAGACGCAGTGATGGAACCCGCACAGTCTCAGACAGCAACAGTTTAAAGAAAAATTGATAGTAGGCGCATTTAGGACATGAAGGGTTTTCTTTCCACGTGTATTATGATTGAAAGGTGTACTTGTTTGATCTGATGAAGGATGGATCGGTGATCGGATGCCAGGCTATGGGAGTGAGGAAAGATCAGAACGGACAGAGGAGACTGGTCTAATTGACCTTGTCTTGATCCAACACCATATTTGGGTATTAGCCGGATTGTTAAGGGGAAGTTTAGTTTTCTCCCACTCACACAGCTAGGTACAAAATATTGGTTACAATGAAGCATGATACCAACAGTTACATTTAGCAATCACCATAAACAATGATCGAAATAGTGATTGATTTCATTTCTAATATCTACTATACTCTATACTATATACTATATAATAAGATATGATGTGTCTAGCTAATTCCATAAAGATGCAAGACAGAAGGGTGTATACAAGATCCACGAAGAAGGATCACCAGATGTGAATTTGGATTAAATAGAAAATTCAAATCGCAATTGGCAAATGGCCATAGTAGTCAGATCTTATAGAGTAGGCGACCATAACATTCAAGATTGAATTGGGTATATGTAATAATAGAGAGAGAAATGTCAAGATATTCTGAAATGCTTTGATTCGCCAAATTGAATTTCAAAAACTAAGCCGCGAATCGGGCAAAGCGGGTTAAGGTGTCTTTATCTTATCATTTGTCAGGAACTAAATAATTTTTTTCTGCAGGGTAGCATCTAGCCATCTGCAGCTTTTTGAAAATATATTTGACTGTGAAAATCAACCACAATTGCAAAATTTAATCATGCCGAAACGTACAATAGAAGATACAGAATTGAATTCTGAAAATAACGACATCGAGATCTCCTCCAAGAAAAGCCGCAAAGAAAAGAAGGATAAGAAGGAAAAGAAATCTAAGGATGTAGAAGAGCCAGCCACAGAATCCACCCCAATCGAGGTTGAGGTAGAATCGAAAGAGGCTCGCAGAGAAAGAAAACGACTTAAGAAGGAAAAGAAAGCTCAAGAGGCAGGAAAGGAGACAGGAGAAGAAGAGAAATCAGGAGTCGAAGCAATTGAGCCTGCGTCGGATGCCAATGCTGCTGCAGATGCGAAAGCTGCTAAAAAGGCAGAAAAGGCACGATTGAAGGCATTGAAGAAGGAAGGAAAAGAAGACAAGGCTGACAGCATCAACTCTGTTGAAACTACAACTCCTGCGAGCGTTACTCCGCAACAAAATGGAACAATGTACACCGAAGATCCTAATCTGAGCGGCTTGCCACAAAGCGAAATAGACTCCTTCTTGACCACAAACTTCATCACCATCACTGATCCATTATCTACCTCAGCTACTTTAAGACCGCTGACAAATTTCGATTACCTACCGATCACCGATCCTGCTCAACGAGCCCCATTCAAGGACTTCAAGGCTCCAACACCTATTCAAGCCGCCGCATGGCCGTTCTTGCTCGCTGGTCGCGATGTAATCGGTGTCGCTGAGACTGGTTCAGGCAAAACCATGGCATTCGCTGTTCCTTGCGTGCGTTATATGTCATCTTTGCCCAAGAACCAGATAAACAAAGGTCCCAGGGCCGTTGTCGTGTCGCCGACTCGAGAATTGGCGATGCAGAGTTATGAGCAGATTGTAAAACTTGCCAAGGCATCTGGTCTTTTGTGTGTTTGTGTGTATGGTGGTGTTCCCAAGGATGAGCAGATCAGAGCATTGAAAACTGCTGACATCGTTGTCGCTACCCCCGGTCGTCTCAACGATCTCATCAATCAAGGATGTGCAGATTTGAGCAAGGCCCGATATGTCGTTCTTGACGAAGCTGATCGTATGCTCGATAAAGGGTTTGAGGAAGAGATCAGAAAGATTATCAATACTACCCCCTCTCTTGGAAAGAGACAGACACTCATGTTCACAGCGACTTGGCCCGAGTCTGTTCGCGAATTAGCGGCCACATTCATGACCAGCCCGGTGAAGATTGCGATTGGTGACAATCCCACAGGAGATTTGCGAGCCAACTCGCGCATCGTTCAAAAGGTTGAGGTTGTGGAACCAAGGGACAAGGAATACAGACTTATGCAATTGCTAAAGCAATATCAAAGTGGCAGTCAAAAAGATGACCGAATCCTGGTCTTTTGTTTGTACAAAAAGGAAGCTACCAGAGTAGAGAATTTCATCAGACAGAAGGGCTTCCGAGTTGCTGGTATCCATGGTGATTTGAGCCAGGAACAAAGAACGAGGAGTTTGGAGGCTTTCAAGAGTGGTAACACCCCTATTTTGGTTGCGACAGATGTCGCAGCTCGAGGTCTGGATATTCCTGCTGTCAAGTTGGTTATCAACTGCACGTTTCCGCTTACAGTGGAAGACTATGTGCACCGCATTGGTCGCACAGGTAGAGCTGGCAAAGATGGACTGGCAATTACTTTGTTCACTGAGCATGACAAGGCTCAGTCTGGCGCGTAAGTAAAGCATCCAAATACTTGATCTATCATCTACTAATGGTCGATTTAGTTTGATCAACGTCCTAAAGGCAGCTAATCAACCAGTCCCCGACGAGTTATTGAAGTTTGGTACTACAGTCAAGAAGAAGGCTCACGATGCTTATGGCGCATTTTTCAAGAATGTGGACCCTACCAAAAAGGCAACAAAGATAACATTTGATTAAAATGCAATAAGCTAGGTTTATAGGATATTTTGCTGGGAGAATTTAAATTCAGCCTTTAATTGCATGGTAACATTCGAGGAGATATCCCTTCTCACACGTGGCTCTATCAAGGCGTAATGGTTAGTAGTTTATAGATCGGCGTTACAGCTGAGAACTTACAGGAGAATCACAAAAATTAGCGCCACCAAACCACTCTTGACAATGTCTACTAAACTACCCGTGAATGATGTCCTCATCTGAGCAAGTGCGGCATACGTAACAACCCCCAGTGAGATTGTGCTAGGTCGTGGTAACAAATCCTTAACTGTGAATTTAGCGCCATAGCGCCGGCAGTAGGTCAGGATGAAACGACCGCACCATATGATCCGGAAGAGCATGTTAGCCATATTTGCCAGTACTAGGCCTTCAGCCCCGAGATCCAAAATTCCTAAGAACAGATAGGCGGCACCAGCAAAGCCGGCAGAGAAAGCAGACATCCACAAAGATTGTCTGTAAACTTCGGCTTCGGTTGCAACAACGGCTACAAAAGCCTCGCACACTCCATTTAGTGCAAGTAGTGGTATGTAGTAGCAATACACTGCAAGAACATTGCCAGCTCCAGACGACTGCCATCGTGGGCCGGCAATGAAGTTCAATAGAAGCGGGGCAATAGTTGGACCTACGGCAACTATAGCAACTGACAATATAAGATATATACGTAGAAGCCTGTGCAAGTCTGTGCTGGCTTTCTCAGCGGCTCCCTTGGCTGGCTTTCCGTCAACGAGAGAAAGGAGCTTCCCGAAGTAGTTTCTAGACATTTCCTCGATTGGCTGTAGGACTAGTCGAGCAATCAGACCACCATAATTGCTCGCTAGTGCATAGATACCTTGGGCTGTTTGTGTGGCCATAGATGCTATGAGAAACGTGTCGCCTTGTGTCAAGACATGTTTTACCATTGATTGTACCATCAAACTCCCTCCCAGGGACAAGAGTGGTTTGGAAAGGTAAGAGTAGATATACTCCTTTTTCTTACTACCATTTATTAGCTTCGTAAATTATACCATGTCAAGGTAATTTAAATACCTGTAAATAGGCTTGATAATTAATGAGAATCCGCCCCTTGATGCGATGTTCCAGACGCCCAATAAGTAAACTAGTAGGATTGCAATAGCATATGCCCCCTGACCAACAGCAAATGGCAATACACCAAGCTCTATCTGATGATGCGCAGCCCAAACCGCAACAGCGCAAGTAACAATGCATCTCAGAACTGTTGCTATCGATTCCGCAGCAGCTCGAACTTTGAAGGCCGATTTTTGTTGTGCGATGACGAAACATGGCTCAGCCAGCAATTCTAGAATTGCTGCCACGCCATATAATCTTAAAGATTGTTGAAAATAAGGAGTTCCGACCACGCCAATTTGCCCGGCATTGGCATAGATCCAACCAAACAGCACCGTAGATGCCAACCCGAGCGCAATAGAGATGTAAGACAAATTCACGATTGCTTGGCTTTTACCAGCATTCGTTCGGCTATCCAGACATGTGTCCTTTGTGGACAGATTGTTGTCCTGTTTGGCTTTAGAGTCATCATCGCTCGTGTCGGTCTGGCGCTGTATTGAGACACGCAGACTTTCTCTGGAGAAGAACAGCACAGTGATGGAGTAAACTTCAAGTTGTGTTGACACGGCAAGGAGCTCGGGTGAGAGATACCGGAGAAGTATCTGGTTCACGATGAATGTCAACGCTCGAGACCCGGCTTGCAATGCAATCAAGAGCGATGCTCCACCAGCTGATGTTGAAAAAAGTGATTTGCCAGCTGGCTTCTCTTTATTGGGTTTCACAGATGTCATCGATGGCCATATGTATCGCTCTGGATTTTTGATTGCAATCTGTTTTGTAATTTCAAGATGTCTATGCACTTTGATTTCTGGTCACGTGATACGATTGATCAACGTTGCGCTACGGCGAGAGAAAATAATTATGTGCGAACAGCAACATGTCCTGCTCAGTGCTCAATGATAGTTTTCATCTTCATTAGTTTGTCCATCCTTTGTTGAAACCCCTATCTAGATGGGAACTTGATCGTATTGAAGCATGGTGATCGACGAGGTTTAGAAAGTACGGAGGCATGACCCTGTGGTGGCAGATTCCTTACCTACCGAAGTGTCCGCTTCATCAATGTAATAAAATCTTCAATACTTTCATAATATATTGAATAAATCGTTTCTACCCTCTTAATCTGATTAAATTTTTTAACATATATAACAAAGCTTATTCTAATCAACAAGGTCTTAGTAAATTTCTTAGATTTTAAAAGTTTTATTAAAAACTTTAGCCTGAAGTAATAATTATTTAAAACAC